TCTATTCAAGGGGCATCTAATCTCATGAGTGGGAGTAAAGTTCAAAGACCATCTTGTGTCCCACTGCTGTTTGGCAGCTGGGATGGTAAACTGCTTTATTAAGAAATTTTTCTGATTTGTCCCCCCCCCATCATGCTTTTGCTTGCTAGAGTCACAATAGTTCAAATAAGCATATTTGGATACTGTTAGCCCACAGGTGTAGATAGTAGCAAGAAGCTAGTAGCCTTCTCACAGCTCTTTGGATGTCTTAGATGTTGCTGGTTATCAGCAGTTAAAGCAGGACTGCAGTCATCTATCAGGAGAGAGGGAGCCAGGAGAGTGGTGTCTGGGCTGCTGTGCAGCTCCCTGAGACCTCTTCGGGCAGTTCTGTGGCAGTCTGCACCCATCCATATGCTTTTGGTATCCCCCCTCCTGACGTGCTGGAACCATCCAGCGAGGGAGATGTGGTATAAGTTCTGCTTGAAGGTTTTTACTGGGAAGGAAAATATTTACTGAAAAGTGGTGGAGAAAGTTATTGAACTTTTTGAGAAATTTTGGAAGCAATTTCTTTCACTTGCTAAGAGGGTAGTAGAGAAATTGTAATTGTTCATGAACCTGTTTGTAGGTTTGGCTCTTTGCTGTGGGTTTGGCATTTGTTTGTTTGTTTTAAATTTATTATTTTTAGGGGAAAGCATCACTGTAAGCCTGTATATATAAACTCATACACTCTAAGCACTGTATGTACCATGTTTCTAAAGGGGTTTGGGGCTGGGTTATTTGTGGGGAGGAGGTTGGATTTTTTTAGAATTTAGCCTGTTTTATTAGTTTTCAGGACATTTTCAAACCTGATAAAAGAAAGAAATTAAGAAGGAAAACTGCAGTGTTGGGAGAAAACACTGAACTGAGACACATTTTAACTGTTTGTTATTAGTGTAATATAGGCTAGGGAAGAAATGGATCTCAGTTTCATGAACTGTTGTCATAGTTTTCAGCATCTCCTGGATAAAAATATAGAGTAGATTGATACTATTTGGTCTGATAAGAAAACAGTTACAGTATTGTCCTGTTCAATAGCTGAGCAAAAGATAGGGGTCTTGCTGTAGGCTGCAGTTTTCTACTGATGCTTTTTAATGAACAGTTGATTCCTGACCAGCTGACAAATTAACACATGGTTGCCATTTATGCCTTTAGATAACAAAATATTTAGATGACACTGGATTTTGTTAGCATAACATTATGAACTGGGTTCTTTTTCTAACAGTGGCATTTAACACAACACGAAAAAGATACCAGTTTTAGTTTCATTCTCAACCTTTCTTTTTTTTCCAGTGATATGTTTATTAATTTTTAACACTTTTTCTCAAAGAGCATTTTGAAAAAGTTTAGCCTTTTGGATGGATGATATTGCTAGCTTGAAAATGCCAGGTATCTTTAAGAACATACTTGGTTCCAAGGTTCTGTAAATGTCTGAGCCAATTTAGAGAAGTACAAGACATAGTTTGACAGAGATTTACTACACAAGGAAAGAATGTATTGAAGTAGGATTGTCTGTTGTTTATATATCTGTTAATGTGCTTGTGCTCTGGACTTGCTTAGAGGATGTTATACAGCAATATTGTATTCTAAGAAAACGAGGAAAAAACCTTAGTATGACTATAAACCATAGTAGCTATAATGATGTGATACATAAACTACAATCTTACTCAAAATAAGACTTTTTTCCAAAATTAATATTTCAATAAAACCCATAAAACTTGCAAGGCACAGACTGAGCTTGCAGTTCTGGTGACCTGAGGAGACTGGCACAGCTGCTGAGCAACCATTTCCTTGCTGAACAGGTAGGCTCAGCTGAGCAGCTCTTCTTGCTAATGGAAGAGGTGCTTCAAGTCTCAAAAAATCAAAATACTAATGAAAATTTTGCAGTTGCCCACATAAGTTTGTGCTAGATTGAGGGCATTGACAGGACCAGAGCTTACCTTTAGCATGTCTGCTGCTGGATGTTTTTTCAGCAATGTCTTTCTCTAATTACTTTATCTAAAAGCATTACATATTTCTGGTATCATCGAAATGGACCCATAGTTGGAGATGGAAATGTTTCAGCTATTTCCTTCAGAAACATTATCTGTTGAGAACCAGAGTAATAATTACAATTATTTAGTAATTCTCTGTTTAAAGGAAGATAGATTTATTTTCAAAACTGAGAGTTCCTTGATTTTTTCATTGTATCTTATCCTCTTAAATTCCTGTTTGTTCCACTGAACAGTAGATATACAAAAAAATTTAACAGTGGGATGGGAAAAATTACAATTTCATGTATGCATATGTATTGGTTTGTTGTATAACACTAGTCTGATTCTGCCATACAGGAACTGGCTGTAAAAGTAAGATGGAAATTTTAAGCTCATGTCATTTCAATAATTTTGAAATTGTTCATAAATCTGTATATTGAGTCTTAGGGGAAGATCTTTGCTGTTTCCTGTGTGAATAGATATGCAGGTATAGATTTTGTATTGATAGATACAGTCTATGCAATCACCAAAGATATGGACTAAAAGTGAAGTGTTTTTTTTCACTGATACAAATCCAAGTCAAAATCTTTCCCTTTATGTTATACTTGTAAATAAAAATATCGTTTAGGAGTTGGAATGTAAAATACTAACTAGATTTCAGTTGTAGATAATTTGGTCTGATGAGAAGAGACTAAGAATTACTTTTTTTTTAAATAATTTGAGACCGAAAAAAATGGCCGGGCTTTGAATCAGTTGTGTTTTTCTATTACCAATTATCCTATTTACTATTTTGTGACAAAAATTCTTTATTACCACAACAGCTTGGCAATAAAAACTGTGTGGTAAAATAATTCTTCTGAGTAGCTAACCTGCTGTTGCAAAATACATGTTTAATGCTAAAGTATAGACCTACAGCTGAATCATTTTGACTTTGGTCTGTGTGGCTTCTGGTAAGGACAGTGGGCCTTAGTACACGGTACAGAATTTCACTGCAGATCCCGTAGTGTTTATTTTAGAAATCGAATTTATATTAGGCTAAAAAAAGCATTTTTTTTCAACTATTTCCAAGCTGAGTTTAGTTTCTGAGATTTTCTGTATTTTACTTGAATAAGCAGCAGAAAAATATCTAAGCGCTAATTTAATTAGCTGTAAACAGCAAAAATGCATTCCCTAAGCATGTTCTGGCAGTCTTAATTAGAAAACTCTTATGTGCTGTTTCTGCTGGATTTAATGGGATTCTTTACAAAAACATAAGGGAAATTACCTATTTTCAGCATTTTGCTTCTGTGTTTATCATAAGGTGGCCCTACATGTGAAGGAAGCTGTATTTAAATACATATACAGTACAGAAGTCATACTGAAAGAATACAGCTGCTGCTGAAGAGCAAATTTTAATATAATTGAAATTATTTCACTGAAAATACTGTTGCTGAGGGTTTGTGAACAAAAAACCTTAAGAACTGAAAAAGTGTTATTGAATGTGGTACTTAAAAAACCCAGAGATTTTCTTGAGGTTTGAAAACACAATTGGTAGAAGTGATGAAAGTTTCATTGACTTTGACTGATTTTTTGACTGAATTTAAAAAAAAAATTTTAATTGTTTGACTTTAAATCACTGCTTTGAGAAATGTAATTCAGAATATTTTCTCATTTTCTTTTTTCTACAAATATTATTGTTCCTGGTAACTTTTCCTAATGAGAGATAAGAACATAACAAAATGTCAATAAAGGTTCTAGGAGTTCTACAGCAGTCCTTCTGAATTTGAAAGAGCATCCCTGCTTTGACGATGAGTTAGTCTGTTTTACATGAGGAACGAATAATCTTCAGATTTGCATCCCATGCATGGCAGCATGGATTAAACCTTTTGAATGCAATCAACTTATTCAGTGTTGTCAAATGTATTTATGGTGTTTTGTTGGTGGGCTTTTTTTTTTTCCTCCAAAAACCAAGAATTTGTTTCAACAGCTTTTCTTAGAGATAAATAATCCAGGCTGGATGAACATATCTTATAGATAATAATTTCCCTCTGAGAGCTGTAATTGTCTAATAATATAATTTTGGCTTCATACCTAAAGGACATACCCTGACATTTAAACCAGGTGATCAGAATTCCTGCATTTTTGTGGTAGAGCACACTGGCTGTAGCACAAACCAGCACCTGCTTTCATTGTAAACCTCTTATAGTCTTATGCTCCTGTGGAATGTGTGGACTTTTAATTATAGTTCAGTGTGCTTGCAAGCCACAGGAAAAAGTTGAGGCTAGCTATAAGTTACAGGATGCGTAGTGTTGTGCTAGTCGTTAGACTTTTAATTTGTAAGTCCTTCAGCAGAATGTTAAGTTTATAGAATTGTTTTATTTATTGGAGCCAATATAAAATCCTGAGATCTAAAATACTATAGGAACTTCAGTAAAACATTTTTATGAGAGTTGTGATATAATCTTTAAAAAGGTAATCTACCCTATGAAAACCCCATCACAAAATAATAATTTACTGACATAATAAGAAAAAAGCTGGAGAAATATTAATCCATTGTGGAATTTGTGTGCCCAGCATCTGAAAATAATGAATTGAAGAAATTGTGAGAATAAGTCATATTTCCTTCTGCAAAGACTAGTAATTCTAGTTCTCAAGAAGAACTGCATGAATTGTTACGTCAGTCTCTATGCCAGTGTTATGCACCTCCACTCTAAGACTGTAGTGTTTTATGGAGACCTACTACCAGGAAAATAATTCTTGTCCATAGAAGAGACATTTCTAGGAGAGAATTTGGTATCCTGTCAGTGGATGTTCTTGTGAAACAGGGTTTTATCAGGTTGCATGGTTTTCCTTTATCTCTAAGAAGGACAGATTCAAGGATGTTTTACATACTGCCAGCATATTTCTATAGGCAGAATAAACATAGACAATCAAAAGAAAAAATTTTATGCTTATTAGGACTATCTAGTTACACCGTAGGATTGAAAAGCATAGGTCTTTTCACCATTTATATTTCTTCCTTTATATTTTTAGGATGCAAAGTTTGTAGAAGAGCGACGCAAGCAGCTGCAAAATTACCTAAGGAACGTAATGAACAAAATTATTCAAACTGTGCCAGAATTCACAGCCAATCCCAAAAAAGAGACTCTTATTCAGCTGATGCCCTTTTTTGTGTAAGTATCTGTCAAGTAGTCAAGAAAATATTAAGCTTTTTTTCATCACAATTTAAAGTACAATGCCAGCATCTCCAAAACCTTTTATAAAGTGAGATTTTTAAAATAGAAGGCTCCTGTTCAAAGTATAAGTGCTTTTATTATATTCAAAGGAATACATGACATATATAGTAATTTTTGTTTATTTAAATAGTGACTTTGAACAAAAATTACTTTGTAAAGCTTTCAAAAATATCTAAGTGACCTCAAAGATCTGGATCCCTAAGTACTCTTGAAACATGAGGTGTTCTCAGTTTCTTTAATTTGGTATTTTTCAGTTTTGTTTTGCTTTTGTTTGTGTGGGGTTTGTATTTTTTTTTTAAATTTATTTTGGGGGATGAGGGTGGAGAACTATTAGGGTACTTACTAAACAAATGAAGTCAAGCTCTTGAATCCTTTGTAGCTGATTTTTGTGATCTGCTGACACTTGTTCTGATTTCAACACAGTCATCTGTTCATGTCAAAATAAACCCTTTGATATACAAGGAATATAATCTGTTAAAATGTTTCCGTTTTGCTGTAAACATTCTTAACAGTATTTGTAAATGATATTTAGAATTATTTAAGAAATAATGAAAGTTTGGTTTTGAAAGTGGTGTCAATTTATTTCTTTCACTAATAATTTTTCAGTATAATAGTTTTTCACTACTACACCTTTACAGATTATGTATAGATTGAACACACATTTATAGTAGGCCACTGTATTCAATTTGCTGTCTACAAGCCTGTGCACAGGGATTGTGCATCCATGCCTGTGAATCCATGGATGGATCTGTTTGCAGAATGAAGACAGTTTAAAAACAGTATGTTTCAGTAAAAACGTACATACTTGACTGCACTATTTCCATGGTCTTGTGCAGAGTTTCAGATTTTCAAGGTGAACTCTGATTCACCTTGAAAATGTAACAGATAAATGGAAGAATGCCAAGATGTATTTTGTGGCATTCATATTGTTTTCTTTTTTTTTTCTGGATTTGAAAAAGCAGAAATCAATCTGATGAGACATCTTGACGATGATGTATTATAATTGGCAAAATGGTGTTTGTATGGACAAACATCTCAAGAGACTTACCTTTCTCTAAGCCCTTGACTAAGGGCTGTAAAGATTGAAATGGTTTCAGGTACTTCCAGTCGAAAGGCCAATACATGGCTTTTTGTGAATTAATTTTAAAAAATTTGTCCTTCATGCTGTATTTTGGTTTTGTGTTTTGTTTTGTTTTTTTAAAGGAGAGGAGGACAAATACAAAATACATTTGCAATTGAACTTTCAACTCAAATATTTTTTGTTCTTCCTGTCTAATTATATTTTATTTTAGGATGGTTAAGAATAGCTGGGTGAAGTAGTGAACTGATAATTTCTTGTCAAGTTCATTTCATAACTTGCTGCTTTAAATGTAGAGAAGGTAAATGAATTCTGAACAGTGGGCTGTTTAAGGTCCCATCTTTTCATTGGGTTGTTATAATTGATTATCCCAAGTTCCACACAGACAAGCAGTAATGCAGAATAACACCTGTAAGTGAAGGCTAGCTACTTTCCCCTCCTCAAGCAATTTGATTATGAAAGAAATTCACAGCTTCTTGGAGTATAAGATATTTGAATAAATTTTGATTATGGTTTCACATTTACACTGAGTTGTTGTAGTAATTACTATTACCTCTATAGTACAAGTGTTCATGAAGATAGCAACACAACTATTATTAAAATACAACAAAAGTGGACAGAAGCTATTAGATTAGGAAATACTGTGGGTGCTCTACTTAGAAGTACTACTTTGAAGCCTTGACCTAAATCGATGGAAACATATTCATAGCAGCAGTTCATTACTTGAACTGTAATTCATTATTTACATGGTTTAACCAAAATGATCTTGTTTTCAGATTATTCTTGCATTTATATTATTAGAATTTCACTTTTTTTTTGTAGTCTATCATTAATTGTACTATTCAACAGTGACCATACTGTGAGATTATAACTATGAGGTAATGCAGTACTGACAATGCTACTTTTCAAGTGTTTTTTTGTTTGTTTTTTTTTTTAAATGTATTATACTGTTCTTGCAGGAATATTTTTATTACAGTATCTTTTTACTCTACTTCAAGATATGACATTTGAATAATACTTTATTTATAATCTCATAGCCACTTCTGTTAAAAATGGGAAAGGAAAACAAATTTCCTCTTATTCTTCAGCTCTAAATAATTAACTTGCTTTCTGATACTTATTCTCATCCATTTTATAAGTATGTAAGTACAGTCTAGATCTCATGGATTTGTTTATTTTAAAAAGTGCCAGGTATGAGGGACCTATACAGGAAAAGACTGAAAACCACAAGCCCACATAATGGGTTCTACCAGTCATGCACAAGTCAGAATTAAACACCGTTAGCCTATTCTGCTGATACAAAAAAAAATTCCAACACTATTTCTTCTAATAAATGTAATGAGCTGAATAAGATAGATAAAACCGATTTCACGGAAAGCAAAGTTTTATGGAGAAGGCAGCATATTTAAATAATGTGTTTTCTCAATATGAGTACAATTTAGTATGGGAAACCCTGTGATACAAAATAAAGCAATTATCTCTAAGGAAAGAAGTTTGTTCAAGGAGATTTGCCAACGCCATTTGTCAACAATTTGTGAACACCAATATGATGCACTGTATTGATGTTAACCTTTTCTGGATATAGCTATATGATAGTTTGCAAAAAGACTGTTTATTTTTAGAGGATTTTTTTGCATTGGGCAATTTGATAATTCTCAACACATCACATGAGGCAAAAGACTATAGTGATTTAAAGAATTTTCTTTGTTGTATATACATTATGGCAAAAATATTGTGTTCATATATGTATGTTTGAGTTATTTCCTTGGAGCTTTTTGTGTAATAATAGATACATCAGTATTCTCTCTTAGCTAGCATAGATAGTTCTCCATTGTAATATTAGTGAGATTTTGGAGAAGCTCAGCTGTTGAGTAAAGTGACTATACCTCATCTGCAGCAGACAAAGCAAGTTTTTAATGCATTTTTCTGCTGAAGTATCAGACTCTTTCTAATGTAAAGATCTTTCAGGGAATGATAGAAGGAGCACATTATAGAAAGTATCATCATTGCTTGGCTATCATATGAATTCTTAGTATCTTTTACTTTTTGAGGGTCATGACCTGGCACTGTTGGTAAGTAAGAAGAAGCATTTAGAACAAAATATATTTCAGTTCCACTTCATATTGCCAGCTTCTCCAGTATTGTCCGTCCTTAATGGATTTTGAGCTTCATCGAGATCTTAAAGACGCTGGAGTATGTGAAGTGTTTATGGTATCTTTCAGTGGTAGCCTTTGTAGCATACTTTTGTACTGTGCCGTAGTATTCTGTGAGGTTTAATAATATTTTAACATAAAACACTGTAAATACATACAATAATTCTGATATATTTAAGTTGTTCTTTATAGCACAAATGAACACATTTGTGTGTGTAATTGCTGATTACATCTTAATTAGTTAGCAGTTACAAAATATTAGGTTATTAGTCATAGGACTGTGCTGTAGAGAGTACTGATAGCTCAGTCTAGGAGAAAAATTTACAGTCTTAATATGCATCAAAAGTCTCTAGGGCATTAGATCTGGGAAGCAATGAAATATAAATTTTTTCTAAAAATAATTAACTGGTCTTAAAGAGTTTGTTCTCCTTGCAAAATTAAATGACCACAGTTGAGTGTGAAAATGAAAAATCCCATGAAGTTTATGTCTGATTAGGCATCCTACAGATAGAAATTACAGGGTGAGGTTTAATTAATCACTTATAAGATCTGATTTAGGTCCTGGAATATGATTATGATGAACAGAAAATAAGGTTAATGTCTCTAAGACTGAATCCACAGATTATTAAATGCTGGAAGGAATATTGCCTAAAATTTTTGCTGTGAGGTTGTTCCTTTGGGGATTTCTCCCTTTCAAGTGCAGTTGATTGCATACAATCAGACACACATCTGATGAGGCAAAACATTTTAATTGATCTGTATGAAATAACCTGCCATTGTTATAAAGAAAGAAATTAATTTTATTTTGAAACTCAGATACAGTTAAACAGTTTGCAGTAAACAATCTGAATCAGCTTGCTAGCATTTCTCTTCATTAGTGTACCAAATGCTAGTGCTCAATCATGGAAATGTAACTTGTTTTGATTCCTTATGTTGTGGACAGTCATTAATGTATTCTTTCGGTTGTCAGTGTCTATCATTTGTAATCTCTGTTTATTTTTCAGTTTTAATGCTACATTAGTTCATTCACAGGCTTGGTCAAATAGTCTCCTTTATAGTGCATTTTTATGTTTTAATGTGAAAAAGAGATTCTGTCTCTGCTAATTTGTCTGTTTGCATGTTGAATAACAAATTATTTATAATAATAAAATTGTCCTCACAAGCTAAATTTTCCAGTCCATGCAGAGCAAAATCTGAATCAAGAATTGGCACTACTGAACTGGATTACTACCTCTGCTAGCTGGCGAAGACCTGTCTGTTAATACTTACAGAACATTCATTTGCACGCATGATTGGGACATTACAGATAAATAAAACTTGTTATAACAAGTACACTTGTGTTTTAATAGCATTTTTATCAATATATCAAAAAATATCATGCATATTAGCTCTTTGTAAATATATAAGAACAAGAAGGGTCTTTGGCAACAAGCATCACAATTCTTTGGACCATTTAATTGATTCTTTCAATATAAATCATCATAATAGGTTATATGATTTCAAATATGTAAAGCTATAAAAGCTTCAAAAAGTCATGAAAAGAAACACTAAAATGTCCATTTTTCTATCTCTGTTGTTTCTGTATCAAATTTTCTTATTGTTTAGAAGATAAAGAATTTCTTCCCATCATCCTCATAATGGACACAAATTAAAATACAAGAAAAATAAAAAGTAAAAGAAAACTTTTTTTACTGTAAGGGTGGAGG